CGGACGGCCCAGATTAAAACAAAATGGACGGCTGAGATCAAAAGGCAAGGGGTTATAAATAGACCCCACACCAGACCACAAACCCTAGCCGCTGCCGCTCGCCGGAGAAGACGAACCAGAAGCCGGCCGCCGCCACCCGCCGCCGCACCGGAGGAATTTTCGACCGCCGATCGAGGTAAATTTCATACCCCCGACTCGTTTTTCCACGCTGATTCCTCCTGTGGCCAAATCGGAGCCAAAATCCCGGCCAAACGGCCGGAATGCACGGCCGAAGCCCAGCGGCGCCGCCGCGCCCTTCTCGGTTTTTGCCTCCGATGAGGCCCTTCCCGGCCTCCGTTTGATGCAAATTTTATATCACCGTGATCACCACTCTTTTCTCTACAGGTTTACCGGAGCCGAATCACCAAAACACGAACCTCGCCGGAGAGCCGCCGCACCCGAGAGCGCTGCCGCCGGTAAGCTCCGTTTTTCCGTGATTTTTTGGCCCCCCGAGGGCCCTAGGGTTGTTTTCTCGTAGGGACCGATGCGAGTGTGGCCGAATTCGGCTGAAAACGGCCGAAAACAGCCAACCCGAGGTGAATGCCGTCGCCGGAGCACGGCGGAGCCGCCGTGCCAGAGTTGCGATTTGGGCCGAAAGGGGCCCTGGGCCTAATTTGGGATTTTTTTGGAACACGTGCAGGTACCAGTAGTGCGTTTCAGTTCCCCGAGGAAAATTCAGGGAAAATTAGGGACAGCCTGTAGGCACACTGTGAAGCCGTGTTCGGACCCCGAAACGAGTAAGGACCCCTCACCCTATTTCCTATCACGGTTTTAAAGTTCAATAAATGATAAAACGGTATTTCATGAATCAACGAATGTGTGAAATTGCTTAAGGTCGCTAATGGAGCCCGAGTCTAGTGTATTTGTCGGTTAACTGTTATTTGGCCTGTTTTACAGTCTTCAATGCAGCATGAGGTTCGATGTTTTCATTTTATAGTTTCGTGTGCATATTGTACTGTTTTATTGATTATGGATTGAATGACTGGGGTGTTGATACTATATGTTGTCTGTTTGGCATAAATTATCGTTTAGCTTGTTTGTATATGATTGAAAATGCTGACTGAGGGAAAAGGCGAATGAAAGATTATGTGAATGGGTAATTATATAATATGGTCAGCCTGACTAGATATCCTGGGAGATGGTGGACGGACCGGGTCCGTAGGGAACCCTACCGGGATTGTGGTCTCCCATACCGGACGGGGTATGGAGATCTTATGTGTTTTGGCGCCCATACCGGACGGGGTATGGGGACGACCCGTTTTACCCTCATACCGGACGGGGTATTGAGGTTTATGGTTTTGGCGCCCATACCAGACGGGGTATGAGGACGGCCCTGGAATCCGATGACGAATGTTAAGGATTAACGGGTAGCGGGACCCCTATGGATCCCCATGGATATTAGTGGGCTAGTGAAATTAGGAAAATATGTTGTGTAACTATCGAATTACGAAGAGTGTGATAGGTATTATGTTATACAGTTCATATATATGTTTTCATGATGATGATGATGTTATTGCTTTCGTACATTGTTTTATGAATTTCACCGAGATAAGTAAATGGTAAAGGTTTTATTTTTGATAAAAGGATTTGTTGTAAATTATGCTCCATTGGTCTTTTTGTGTTTTCTACCCACCTTTACCTCCGTGACGGTGAGATATCGTGATGTCTTTACTGGGCTAGTGTAGTTCATTCCTTATTTAATCATTTCAGATCAAGAAGACATCGTTCCCGAGCCACTTTCGCAGGAGGACGACGAAGGGGACGCCTAAGGACTCCATAGTCACATTCGTAGTTTTTACTTTCAAGTTTCTCTTTTAGGTAGTTTAATCTTTTATATTTTGTGAGTACGTTTTGGTTTTAGTGTAAGGGATGTTATTCAAATTTTGACTTCGCTTCCGCATTTGATATTTATAATACAAATTCCATTCTGAATTACCGGGGCTGTTACAAAACGAGTGATAGAAGATTTGAGAGAGATGGAAGACAGAGCGGGAAGGAACGAAAAAAGAGAGCGAGAGAAGGAGAAAGGTGACGGTGCGAGATACTGAGGTGCGAAAAGAAAAGATAAAGACTGGAGGTATGGTAAATTTAAATTTCGAGTGTAGGATGAGGATGAAATATAGAATTGTGACTATAAATGTTTAAGGAATGTCTAACTAGCTAAGAAAATGGAGTTAGAAAATAGTGATTAATGGAATAGGAGAGCGAAAAGAGACCGTGAGTGGCAGAATAGTTGGTTGGAGTTGTGAGCGAAGAGAAATGGAGGAAGCCGCGGGAGGAGAGATCGATAGGTACGGTGGGAGAGTAAAGGTAAGTTTCGGTTACGGCTAGAGGAAGGAGAACAATGAGTGAAAAAGTGTAAGAGAGTCCGTGGGAAGGTGTGGTGAGTTGGAGTGAGTATGAAGAAGTAGAACGAGCACAGGAGAATGGGAGGCAAAATGCCGAAAGAGAGAAAAAGGGAGAAGCGAAGGGCTGTGAGGGATTGATAAAGATAGGGAGAAGAGTGCTGGAAGCCGAGAAGAATAAAGAGGAGGAAAGAGAGGGACTGAGAGTGGAATGATTGGAGGTAGGACGAGTACGGGAGGATAGGAGGCGAGATGTTAAAAGAGAAAGATAGGGAGAGGCAGAGTGCTGTGAGAGAGTGATAATGATAGGAAGAAGAAGGCAGGAAGCCAAGAAAAATGAAGAGAAGGGAAGAGAGGGACAGAAAGTGGATTGGTTGGAAACAATGAGTGTAGGCATGTAGGGGTTGGGTATGAGTATTATGAAGGTTAGGGAGCAGTAAATGTAGGCATGTAGTGTTTCTGTGTGTGAGTGGTTGGTATAGAGGTGTATTTGTGTAAATGTGCTGTGTGTGGATGGGTGTTGTATGGGGATGTGTAGTGGTGTATATTTTGTAAATATGTTTGAAAGTTTACAAATTGCATGTGTGAGTACTTGGTGTAGATGTGTATTTGTGTAAATGTGCTGTGTGTGGATGTGTGTTGTATGGGGATGTGTTGGTGTATGTTCTGTAAATATGTTTGTGAATTTGAAAATTTCAGGACAATGTTGATGGTTTGGTAATAATTAATATTGGAATACCTAGCGTGTGGGTTGAGTATGCGAGTATGCGGGGCATATTAAGTAGGGACAAAGTGAGGTTGCCTTA